CATGATACATAGGTTATTTTTTATTTCTTAAAATTAATGTAATTTTATTTGGAATCTATGTTCAACCTGGAGAATTGTTTAGGATTGTCTCAATAGATATTATAACTAGCAGTATTATGTGAATTGCATGAATTTATAAATAAATGTAAAAGTTAAAATATAAATCAAAATAGGGTGATAAACATCATCATCAACATCATAACAATTAAGATATTATTATCTACAAACAGACGAGGAACTTAAGTGGATCAAAAATTGAGGGACTATTGGACTTTGAGTTCTTATGTAGAGTGTGAATGATAATAATTCACAAGCCTAATGTAAGCACGACCAAAAGCGAAAACATTGTTGGACTTTTTTAGACCATATTGAAATCCTTTTGAATATTATTAGTCAGATAAATGTAGAAAAAAATATACTTATTTAAAGGGTTTTTTTACACGAGACAAATTATTTTATTGTTTTTGGCCACATAAGTTTCATATGTATATTTAAGAGGAAAAAATCATGCACTAACATGTATCAACTAAAGGAAAGTGTTGTTTGACATACACAGGTCCACGGTTAAAATTATGTGTCAAACTTTCACGTTGATTCATTTAATACTCACAAAACTCATATTGATCAGTTTAAAAAGCAACGTGCTCTTGTAATCTAATGAAATTCTGCTCTTGCATTTTATGATCTTTTAAAAAGACTCATTGTGATAAACCTATGCTTAATAGTCACGGTTTTATGGTAAGTTTGAATGCGGCTAGTGAAATTTGATGTTAAGTTTCATTCTTCTGGTGTAATCTATAATTTTGTTAACAATGAAGTCAAGTATTGGCTCTTTTTTCTGGAACTGTGAATTTAGATATAGTTTGAAATTGAGAAAATGATATTAAAAAACTACTAATATTATTCATACAATATGTTTTATAATACTATTTTTTAAATCTTTCTATTACATCAACTATTTGATTCTATAATACTATGTTGTACAAAATAAAAATTATACAAGTATAATTTATTATCTTAAAAATACTATATGTGGTTATGTGTTGGGTAAAAAATAGAAAGGAATTAATTATTTTTTTTATCCACTTCATATGAAAAGGAAAAAAAAAAACAAAAGAAGAAGAACAAAATAGTTAACTTAAACATGCATACATTTACAAACTCTCAACATATTTTTTATTATTTTATTATTTTTTATTAAACAAAACTATAAACTCTTGCCTTTATACATAAAGGTTCAAGCTTCCAATGCACCTCAAAGATTACATGTTATTATGTTTATTTTTTGAAAATCTAAATTTAATTTAGCCAAAAAAAAGAATGGAAACAAAGTGTGTTTTGAGAAAAATAAAGTTTGTCTCAACAAAATGGAAAAATTTAAATTTAACTCTAAAATGAGAACATTATAAGAATTAAACTAAAAATTAAGTAAATTCTTTTAACATGAAAATACAACTTTAATCAAATTTAGTTTTTTCCTAATTCTAAGAGCATAGGAGATTAGGGTCTGGAAAAAAATAGAAAGAGCATTGTAACATAGAAAGAAAAGAGAGAAATTGAAAGAGATTGAAGGAAGGAAGAAGCAAAGAAAAACATAAAAGAATTCAAGAACACTATATTATGATTTTATACATTGTTATGAATTTTTCATACATATTTAAATATATACATAGTAAGTTTCATGTAATAAAATCAATCTCATAATGTTTAAATAGCTAAAAAAAATAAAATAAATATTACAAAATTAGAAATTTTTGCTACCACGACATTGCCTCCATTGCTGAAATTGCCGCTTGTCCCTCTTTAATCACCCTCAACCACCAAAATTTACTATGAAAACTCCTTTCTTCCTTCACAGCAAAATTTTTAGGAGAAAAAAAAATTATAGGAGGTAAAAATAAATTTTTTTTTAAGAAGAGAGATTTGAAAAAAGGGATTCCATACGAGAAAGAGCAAGTTTGTTTTTTCAAAAAGAAAAGATAAAAAAGTGAAGAGAAAAAAAAAACTCCAAAACGAAAGAAAAATACTAAAAAAATGAAGAAAAGAGAACAAAAGAAATCATATATAAAAAAGAAAGAGGAAAATCACACTGCCTCCACTGTTCAAGCAACCATTACTCTCACTTCAGCCATCCTACCATAACTCAGGTTGCATTATAAGTATCCTTTACTTTCTTTTAATGTAAAACTCACTTTCTATATTTCAAAGTTTTATAACTTAAACTTAGTATAAATAAAAACATAAATGCAAAATGGGAGAAAGAAAGAAATAGAAAGATTCTTTAACTTCTAAATATTTTTATTATTTTAAATATAGTGACTTTACCGCAAAATACAAAGAAACGAAAAGGTTACCTTTTCAAGCAAAGGAGCTACCATTTTCAACTTTTCTTCTTTCTTTTTTTTATTCTTTTTTTTTTTCTCTTCAAACCATGATCTCCATCAACCTTACCTTCACTCCTTCCATGGCCCCCTCTTGAAAAAGCTCACTCCATGTCCTAAAAATTACACAACTCTTCAAATTTGAAATTTTAAAATTCTAGACATTTTTTTCCTTTTTCATTAGAATTTTTTGTTGTTGTCTAGGGGTCTAAAATTACCAAACAAAAACCGTTTTTTGTGTGTCTAATTTTTTTGACCATCTAGTGGCCCAAAATGCACCAAACAATAACTCTTTTTTTTCAAAATTATATTTTGGGCTTACTAGTAGCCCTAAATTCACCGACAACAATTTTGTTTATTTTTATTTTATTTTATTTTATTTTTTGTCTAAAAAAATAAAAGTTCTTATTTTTTTTATGTTATTTTTAGCCCATGTTTTATTTTATCTATTTTATCTTATCTTAAATAAAAATATTTTATTTCTATTTTTTTTATTTAGTTCTCTTAATTCCGTTTATCAATTTTTTCAAGCAACAATAAGCATAACAATAACAACAAGAGTTTGTTAAAATTGATTTAAGCATAATAAAAAAATTTATTCTTTCAATCATGTTATATTTAGTATCACCATATTTTTCATGTTATTTTATTGTTTGAATTCTAGTTATTTATATATGTTTCTTTAGTATTATTATTCTTTATTGTATTGGATAATTTTATAATGTTAATGTAATTTGATTTTTTATTCATGTTTACCATTCTTTTATTTCATGGTTAGTGAATTATTTTTAATTTATATTATATTCTATAAACAAATAATACAATATTTACTTTTAACATTTTCGGTGATACTTTTACTCTTTTAACATTGTGCTAGGTGAGAAGAAATTATTTTGTAGTAGAAATAAGTTTTATTTTATTTTTATTGATTCGTTGTTTTATTGTTTTTAGATGGGTGACCCAAAATTTTTCAGATTCACGGCACTTAGAATCAGTAGAAGCGAACGGTGGTCGATTGCAAACCCTCTTTCACTGTATTTATAAATTTGCAAAATAGGAATTTGTATATAGAAATTAGAGAGGAAATTTGTTTTTTTTTAAAATGAGATGTAAATATAAATTTAAGTATATTTAAAATTGAAGAACTTTTCGTAGCTTAAAAAGGGTGGTGTCCCTTTTAATCTAAATGTTTTTATAGCAAATAAAGCATGAAGAGTGCAGGTGGAGAGTTTCCACTTTCCATGGGCTGGCATTGTTGGGTGTTGGGGTGAGAATTTAAGACGAAGATGGCCTGCTGAAGTCACTGTCTCTTGCTCTTTCTGTAGGATTGTGATTCTATATCCATTTTTCCATTATTTGCAGCTCTGTTTTTTACATTCTATACAAGTTAGGTCATTCGTTGGAGTGTTTTAGTTCACATTGAACTTAAGTCAAAATTATTTATTAAATATTTTAAGATTTGTTAAAACAATAATAATAAATTATTATTATTATTATGTTAGTTGATCAGTTCTTATTATTGAATTAGTTTAATATTTTAATAGTTGAAGTTTCAAAGTTTATTTTTTAGCCTTTAATTTTATTAATGAAATTTTCTTTTAATTATTTCCCTTATTTTTTTATCGTCTTTTTATAATAAAAATAACTAAAGTAAATAATGCTTTATAAAGTTTAGAAGTAATCCAAGTTTTTTAAAATTTCAGATTAAAATGTTCAAATCCATAATTAATTCTTTATTTATTTATTTTAATTTATAATATATCTTAATATTATTTAATCATATTTCTCTCTATATATCAAGTAGCCTTTTTTGTATGACAATAAGAGACATAAATATAAATAGTATAATTGTATATAGATAATTAAGATTATAAGATTTAAAAAATTACATAATCATTTAAAAAGATGAAGTGACTTTTTTTTAAAAATTACATAAGTTATATATTTCTATTAAGATGCACATAAATAAAAGTTATATTTGAGAATATTTTTATAAAAGATTATTTAAGTATATATTTATACATGGTTTAAAACTTATGGAGTTGGACAGTGTATAAAGAAAGCTTATCGACTTGATAGTCAAGCTATAATATAACTCACCTTACATACGTTTCAAACATAATGATTTAAATTATATATATATATGAGAAAAAATTTTCTTAAATTAGTATAAGTTTAAAAACTTTTTATTTAACTCAAATCTAATAGTAAATAAAATAATAAATTATAATCTGTTAAATTTAAATTAAATAAAAAATTTTAATTAAGTGTAAAATTTTTTAAATTTATATTAATATAAAGATCTTATCTTTATATATATACACATAAATCATGGTCTATTATAAAATTTTCTGTTATAAATTTAATGTATTATAAATAATTTTTTAAAAACTAAGAGATAAATTAGACTAACTTAATATACTAAACTATGTAGTGATGTTATTTTTTAAAAATTAAAAAAAATAATAATAATTAAATTAATCTATTTCTTTTGCATATTACCACAGGACAAACAAAGGGTCCTTACCCATGGCCCACTCTAACCTGTACCATGTGCTTCTATACCACTAAATACCCATTAAATATTAAATCACATGATATAAAAAAAATCCCATTTTGCAAATAACTCTTCCGTCTTCCCTACATTACCATCAATGGAGGAGGAAGACAGACACAATCTTCAACCCCTCATACCCTTCACCACCACAACCTCCTATTCACACAACCCTCCTTATGATACCCCCAAAAACCCAAAACACTTCAATTCCGACAACAACATCATTCTCCGAATCCTCTTGGTTCTCACAGTAGCTATCATTTCAATTTGGGCCAATTACGAGGCCTCCAAAACCTTTGACATAACCATAGTAAACGACGCCTACGATTCCCCCGCTGGGCGCCGTTTCGCTCTCTCCTATGTCTCCAACGACAGAGCCACTCGCATACTCCAAAACACAAGCTCCTTTGTCGAACACTTCCTTTACCCCAATGATAATAATAAAAATAATCACAACCCCAAGAAGCATATAGATAGTGTCATCCTTCGCCTCGCTCGACGGAATCTCAACGCCACCGCCGTCTACGCTGCCGGGAACCACCACAACGATGGTAGAAAAAATTTCAATTATGTGATTGAGATTAGTCCTATGTTACTTAAAGATAAAAATTATAATAAAGTCGCTATAGTGGGTGCAATCCTACGTGGCATGGCTAAGGCGTGGCTATTTGATGCGGGGTCTAGGGCCCCACCAGGGCTTATTGATGGTATGGCGGAGTACGTGGCAGAGTTGGCCGGGTTCCGCCGTGACATGGTCGCCGGTGGCGGCGGTGGGTCGCCGGAGTGTGAGAGTCGTGGTGGTCGGTGGTGGGAAGATAATGAACCTAGACATGTGGCACGTTGGTTGCATTATTGTGTAAAATACAAGGAGGGGTTCATCCAACGGTTGAATGAAGCCATGAGGGACACGTGGCATGATCGCATGGTGGATGAGGTGTTGGGGATGCCAATTATGAAGCTTTGTGGTTTGTATAATAATGCATCTTGGGTTGGCTCAGAGTGATCTCACAGCTTTGTGTTCAAGTGGGTTTTTTTTCTTTTTTTTGGCAAATATTTTATTTCATTTGTTGTTTGTAATTATTATTGAAATTGATATTCAACGTTAAATATAAAACATTTAGTGGTTTGTGGGTTGGCCAATAATACTTTTAATTAAATGAATTTGCATGTATAAATAATATTAACAATCACATGGAATTGAGATGATGCATGTGCAATTATAAGTCACCACCAGATTGGTAAGAATGGTGAGGTGGATGTTGTGTGGGACAACAATTCCTATTCGTATAATTTTATTAATGGGTTATTTGTAAATATTATAGTTTTTCATCAGATTTATTAATAATTATATCTCTCACTTTCAACTTTAATTTGTCCAAAGAAAATGTGGATTTGAGTAGACTACAAGTTTAGAAATTAAAGAACTATCGTGCTGTATATAATATGAAAAGTTTTCTGCGTAACATCAGTCAAAACATTGGAAAAAGACAGTTCATGGCTAAATTATTAGATTAGTTATATTTTCACCGTTATATTAAACTGAGCATATTACATCTTAATTTAATGCAAATTATTATAATAAATCCATTTTTATAAATAGAGTATTTATCACTGTAACTATTTTTTTTATAATTTATTATGTGTATATTTTAAAATTAAAGTTAATCTAGAATAGATGTATGAATTAAAAAAATTTCTGTTATAATTATTTCATTTTCTATTCATGTTTTTCAAACTTCTTATCTTGTATAAAATTATATATTTTTTAATACATGTTTTTATATTTACAAAAATAATCTTAATTTTTTATATTTTTATCAAATTTAAAGTTTATTTTTAAGAGTGTTATCTCTTAAATTTATATTTACTAACTATTTTATTGTAAATTAAAGTACACTATTTAAAAAAAAATATTAGTATAATTTTTTTTTATTTATCACATATATATTTTAAAATTAAAATTATGTATGAATTACACTTTTCTTATTTTAATAAATTTTATTCTAAACTTTAAATATTTCATTTTTGACAGTTTATGTTTATTTTTAGATTATGCTTTAAGTTTTCAGGACAAGATTTTTGGAAAGATTCTGGTGCAGGAGATCTCGCTCAGACGAGGTAAATTTTGCCCAAGCGATATTGAACGTATAGGAATACAAAGTTACATGGCTATCTCGCTCAAGAGAGATGCTTCTCGCTCAGGCGAGATAAGATAAATACAGCTCAACTGTTACCTCGCTCAGGCGAGAGTGATCTCACTCAAGCGAGGACTCACAGAAGAAAGATCGTGTTCTCTGGACACCATCTCGCTCGGGCAAGATGGAGCTCGCTTAAGCGAGCATATCAGAAAATAATGGGTAAGGCCACTATCTGCATTTCTCGCTCAGGTGAGATACCTGTCACTTAAGCAAGATGTCGTAGCTCAAGCGAGAGCGCGTAGGGCTGAGAGGTATTTAAGAGATTTTCAGCATGAAAAATTTATTTCATTTAAAAACTCACGTCCCTCTCTCAATTTTCTCTGAACTCTCTCTTCTATTATCTAGATAAAAGCCTTAGAAATTCTGATTTTTCTTCAAAGCTGAGCTTGGATGTTGAACATAAATGACTTCAAGTAAGTTTCTTTGGATTAAACTTGATTTTCTCTTATCATTTTTCCTGTTTTTGTTTCTTATGAATATTTCTTGGTATTCAGGAGAACTTCCATAGTTGACCTTCAATCCTTCTCAATATCTTTCTATGAACTCATTTTCGAGGTAAGGAGGGTTCTATTTTATCGTTATATTACAATATTTATTTTGTGCTTATAGAGCATTGTTACATGAACATCTTATGAGAACATGTGGTGGAGATATTTATTGTGTGAATAGTTAATGAAAAGATGTTTGTTTGATTGTTTGGATTGATTGACTGTTTAGACTAAATAATTGATACATGCAATATGTTATGAGTACTTGATGTGAAATGTTATTAAACATACTGTGTGGTTATTATGAGATTTTATAAAATATATCTAAATAAAATAATATGCTGAAATGATATTGATTTGAAAGGATTTAACAGTTGTAATTATATCAATAAGTATATGAGTAGGACGGATTGGAATGGAATTAGTCAGAAAATGTTTTACTAAGCACGATCTTATGAATGAGAAAAAGGATAATTCTGAGAATGACTTAAGAGTCAGGTATGGATTGGATCTAGTGTGAATAGTTACAGAGATACACTAGGTGTATAGAGTCTGAAGAGGATGAAAATCTGGAGGAAACGTAGGGTGGTAAGCGACATTCGCTTATGTGTACACACTTTTTCTGACTAGACTCCATACCTGACTGGTAAGCGTCAGTCAGGTATGGAGCGAATGCGTCACATGGCCTCACACTCGTTTCCTGACTAGACTCTTGACTATGCCTTTATTAAGAGACCTAATTATTGTACATGTTGTATCTGTGTGCATGAGCTAACTGACGACTATTTACCTAATTGAGTAATACCTCAAGAAATGCTGGAGGCATCGATATCTGTGATCACAGTGCATTGAGAGTACGTATTTGGAATAAGAAAACGGATAATAGATTAATAAATAATTGAATTATGAGTTATGTAAATATGTTTGTAATATGAATTTGTGAGATTGAATGTATTGTATTTACGTTATAAAGTATGATTCTATGATAAATGTTTTATGAAGGATAGAATAGACGTTCATCCTTACTAATTTTCAGGAAATCAGGATGACAAAGCATCAGAAAAGAGTTAGATTAATAGATAGATCAATATATAATAGGTTAAATTATATATTTAATGAATATCAAAGACTGTGTTATTTTAAATTTGTTGTTCTTGTGGAAGATGACCTAGAACTTTTGTTATGTTAGAGATTGATTTCTTTTGCAGTATCCCGTTTGATTTTCTTAGGAGTAGAATACATCAGACCCTATGTATATATATGTATAGAGGTACGGTTAGGACTCCGATAGCCCTTACTTATCTATTCACTTATCGCGACCACGACCATCTAGGAAGAATGTCTATATGGACCTCCGAGCGCGTTACTGGCACAGAGGTCATGACTGATTCAGGCGATCGTTACCTGGAATCAGATGATGATCTGGATTCAAAGGATTTAGCTGAGATAGAGAGTTGGCACAAGGTCGATGATTAAGACTGGTCTGCTCAGGGACTTATATTTGTTTATGTGATGTACATATTTTGGTAATGTAAATATTGTTTTAAGTCCTATATATTTTGACAAACAATTGTAATTTTTATATTAATATATGTAATGAATATTCAGGTTTCCCATGAAAAAAATATTAAATTTTAGTTGTGATATTTATTTATTCTTTACAATATTTATTATTGTTGTTATATTAGCACTGCAAAATTTGAAATTTTCATTTACATACAAAAACTTAAAGAAAAATTTCACTAATTTGCTATAATAAGTTCATTATATTCAGAAACTGATGTTTTATTTCAAACAATTAAGAATAAAATATAAATTGTACAAATTTTTTATTTTAAAGTGTTTTAGTATTCTTGTTAATGAAAGCTTGTGAGGTCAGTGTAATATGAAAAATCAATAAAATGAAAAATGAGAACATGTGTTAAGATCTACCGAAGATATAAAATGGGTGTTTAGAAAGTTAGATTATTTACTGTTTGGGATTTGGGATGGGTGCTTTGTGTTAGTGGTAAGAAGATAGAGATTTGAGTATAAGAAGATGAAGACGAAAGGGAGAAGAAAAAAGAAAAGCTGCCAAAAACTAGATCTAAGATCTGAAGAAGAAGATGATGAATCTTTCTAAAGGAGTTAGGGTGTTTAACAGAAAAAGACTTATTTAAAACTTTTTTAAAAGTTAGAGGATTAAAATGCATAAAAAAAAAAGAAGTTAAATAACGAAAATAAATTTTACCTTAAAGTTAAGAAATAAAAAAAAATTGCCTAATAGTAATAATAATATAACGAGTAACAAACTTAATTGAGCTAAGTTAAAAAATTAATTAAATTAAAACTATATATAAAATAAAATAAATTTTGTAACTTTATTCAGGCCTTAAATTTAATAACCTGGTTCTAGCTTAAATGGCAAATAGGATTCATGTAATTACAACGTAGTTCTGTTGCCTCAAATGAACATTTATTCAAAAACATGGAGAGACATGCATTTTGTTTACATATGTCAGTCGATATACACAAATTTTGTTTCTGTGGGTTAGAAGGATGAGACATTAAGAACCTGTTTGCCTCAAATGGTATGATTAGTTGTTTGTTTCTTGAATTATTTTTTTGTTCCATCTCTTTAATTGTCTAAAAATATATCACCAAGGCCACTTTTGTATACATGCAAATAGGCCTTACCAGTTTCTTTTTGCACACAACTACAATGTTTTGGAAAAAGATTAAAACAAATGAAAATGTCCTGATTAATTAATGTTTTGCAAATATAATAATTCCATATGTTAAATTGAAGTGGATAGAAAAAAGTTCATAAGAATATATAATATTTCTCCTATGAATTAAAAATAGTTTTAAAAACTTAATTAAATTAAAAATATTTAAATGTGAATTCAATTTTAATATAATTTCATTGCAAAATTAGTTTTGTTCATTATTTTTCAGTCTTGCATTCTTTTTAGAGCTGATCAAGCATATTGATACCTTTGTTTTGCCAAAACAACCAAGAGAGTTGACCCAATTCTTGAAAATGGGTTAATAATGTCAATCTACCTTGTTATTATAATGAGTTGGTGGGTCAGCCACTTAAATAATAAAAAATAAAATTAAATAAAAAAAAATGGATTGATTAAGAGGTGGGGATACAAAATAGAGTAGCGGTTGAAAGTAATGAATAAGCTTTTTAAAATTATAAAATACATAAAAATGAGAATTAATCTAAGGAGTCAACTGATTTTGCATTGTCCCCCACTCCTTAAATCATTACATTATAAACTAGGGAAATTTTGGTAAACTGCATCAGTATTATTATATTAAAATACAATTTTTAAATAAAAATTAATGATATATAACAAAATTAAATTAACAGAATATTTTTTTTCAAAAATTAAGAAATAATAGGCTAAATCTTTGGAGTATTGCTCATTAAAAAAGTAGCTATTGAAAAACAGGGCTAGTCAAAGGTTCAACAGTTTTTTCAATGATTCAAGGTTACAGATTCTGGGTTTTGTTTTGGATTTTTAGCCTATAAGTTTGAATAGTTTCGAACAAACATGCTTTGTATTTTAGTGATTATCAATTAATGCAATGTTGTATTCTGTTTTGGGGTTTTGAATGATCTAATTGTTGCTCAACAGCTCTTTGAACTTTTTTAATCCAAACTTTTCAGATAAAGAAAAATGTTTAATGCACTCGAAGTACAACCAAAAGTATCTTTATTGTTTCACATCACTCTTTTTCACTATTATTTTTACATATATTGAAAATTTCATTTACTCTCTCAACTCTCTTTTGTATATGAAATGGTTTGATATTTTATGACAAAAAGAGAAAATATATAAACAAAAATTACTTGAACAAATAGTGTTTCAAATGAATCTACATCTTCTAAATGAGCAAGCACGTAGAGTGAGAAAATAAATATACATCCATTATTGATTTGAATTGAAGTTTTTGTGTAAAACTAAATTCAAATCAACAATAAACATCTTGATTTTCTCACTTTATACACTTAATAATTTTGAAAGAAAACAAAATAAAATTTGAAATGAAGGAGAAACTTAATCAACACAATCTTCCCCCTTTCTTTTCTTGAACAACCCCTTCATTCCCAGCTAACATCATATATTTATCCCTCCTTGTAAGGTTGGTGCACTCAAATCCCAAAGCATCACCCAATTGTCTCTGTATATAGTTTGCCACTTCATGACTAGACCTTCCACCAGCACATGTGAGTTCCTTAGGAACCTTTCCAAGGATTTCAATGTCATATCTAGGCCTAGGATTCATGAAAAAGAAAACTGGGTCCAAACATTTTAGTCCACTAGCTGTAGTCCCATAGAACATGTTCACTTGAGCATTCATAGCCACAGGTACAATCTCATCAGCCAATTCTGCAAACAAAGAACTAAACCTTAGTAGATATGGCTCCCTGCAAGTTGTTCCTTCAGGGAACACCACCAAATCTCCTTCACAAAGCAACCTTTTCATAGTATCTCCATCTTGTTTTCTGTCCCTTGTCAGTCTCATGGTCCTAATAGGGGCTATCAACTCAGACACTTTGCTTAAGCTATATGTGACAGCAGTTAAAGGCTTTCCCAAACATGTGCTAAGAAAAATTGGATCCAATAGTGTCCTATGTGTGCAAACATAGAGTACCCCTTCATTTAATTCTGACCCTTTTTTGTTACAATCTTTGAAATTCAAATCTACACCACTATATGTTGCTAGCATGAGTGTAAAATTACCACATAGGAAAACACCCAGGAAAATTCTATATATGCCTAATATAATTCCAATTGGAAGCCAAAGGAACATACATAGAGTTGCTGAAGGAGTAGGCAAAAATGCTAGTCTTCCATCATGAAATATTAGAGGTTTAGGATATTTGTCCCTTGGCATTGCTTTGCCCTCTTCACTGATCACCACATATGCTTCCTATCATTATCATGTAGTTGGAATTAGTTAAGACTAGACACATTAGTAAAGATATCATGTATTAAAGATATCCGATACATTGCAATCTAAATGTGATTAAATATATATCATATTCTACCAAATAAAAGAACATTCTAAAAGGTAAAATAATAAGAAAAATAAAAATACTATCAACACCCTTTTAATTATTAATTAAATGTATGAAAAGCTATAAAAATTATAAGGTTTTACTCTTTATAATAATTTTAACCAGTAATATTTAGGAGTGTGTTTTTATTGATCTTCAAATAATAATATACCTTTGTGAAAGAAAACAAATTTTATTGTAATTTTTTTATTTAAAGCTTAAATATATTTTAATCCCTCAAATACACTAAATTTTTATTTTAGTACCTATAAATTATTTTCTTTTTTTAAAATTCTTATACTTTCAAAAATTGATGATTTTAATTCCTCTCACTGATATAACTATACAGAAAAGTAACACATGACATAAAAACTAACACATGAATAGTCAAACAATACCAAGCTTCAAGTACACACACCTATATATATAAAAGGAAAAAAGTGAAACAATCATTTTTCAACATTTCTTTCTCTAGCTCAAAGTAAAACGAGGAAACTAATAAAATAGTTAATTAATACTCACTATATAGCCACAAAAGTAACTAGCTTCAGATATACCTTGCAATAAGAGATAACAAGTTGATCATGGATTCTTGGGCTACCAATTCCAAGGTCAGGCTTAGTATCTCCAAAGTAATCCTTGAGGGCACTGTGCTTCATAAGCAAACCAGAACTAGAGAGCAAACCAGTGAAGTGACAACCAACAGTGTGCAATTCTGTAGCTATAACATCATCAGCATTCAAATACTCTTTAAGGAATCCTTCTACCATCACTCTTGGCATAGTGGTGAAGAAAACTCTACACCCTGCTGAAGCCACTACCTCATAAGCCTCAAGGTTGAGGTTCTCCAAATAAAACTTTGGTAAAACTGCCCTTGCAGTGTTGTCCATGTTCTTCACTTTGAGTCCACAGAAGGAGATGAAGATCATGACCCTAAGCTTCATTTCATAGTTTAGAATCCACAGAATAGGACAAGAACAAAGTAAGAGAAGTGCTCTTAAGATGCTACCACCTTCAAAGGCAACAAGCATGAAATAGGGAAAGAAAGAATGTGTCCTTAGTAGGACCTTATGAATATCACAAACCATAGTTTGTGACCCTCTACCCTCCAAATCACACTTTACAACACTAGGAAAAGGAGAAGGTTGTTGCAATTGCTTAGATGAAAAATCACCCCAACCAAATCCATAGCTCTTAATTTTTCTCGCAACTCCATAATATGACTTAACAAGTAGCTGGTACATGATCCAATTTCCAAGCCTTAGGAGCACCAATGGGAACACCATATTCTGTTGAGTGCCCTTAGCTTATGATATTTGAAATATAACAAGAAAGGGTAAGTGAATGAAACTGAGAGTGCTAAGGCAGTGAACTATTGCTGACAATTTTGTGATAGCAGAGAATATTTATAGTAATTAAAATGGAACCGGGCAGAACTGCAAAGAAAGATACACTATATATATAGTACTTGGTTAACACACTGCTTGCATTAATTTCATATATATATATATATATATATATGAGAGAGAGAGAGAGAGATTTTTTTGCTAGGCCACTGACATGTGAAAATGCTCATTATGTAAGAAATAATTTTCAGAAATTACATCCTTTATGAATTTAATTAAATCTATACTGATAGTGTAAAATTTTAGCAAGAATTTTTTATTTCTCTAACAATTAATGTAAAAACCATATTTATAATACATTCTAACTTATTTACGGTATAAAATTTTTTACAATACTGTTGAGCCAAAAGTAAACTCTTATTATATATATATATATATAAAAGCTACCTTGGCAGAGGTTCCTAACCCCCTAAATATGTCCCTCAGTCCGTACTTATATTTTTCTGATAAAAAATCTAATCATTTTTATATTTATTAAAAACTCCTTTTCCTAATAGATGATTTAACATTTTAAAAAAAAGATGTAAACAAAAATAATGTTAAGTAAATATTATATATTTATAATATGAAAAAAAATCTTCAATGACATTTTAAGAATACCAGTTAATAAATAAAATTAAAATTATTTAATAAAAATAATCTTTAATGTTTAGATTTTTTTGTTTATTTTAAATCAGTAATAGGAATCATAATGCTACTTATTGCTATATATCTGTCATATTGAATTGCAATGTGTTTATGGTGTTACTTTTGAACCATTTCTTCAATTAGATTCATGCCATGTCAGTTGCCATGCCGGGATTTATATATGTGGGTGTTGTGAATTTTTTTAAAATTAATAATTCCTATTGTTCTATCTTTGTCTTATATAAATATTTAGTTAGGAGTAATTCCGATGATTATCAAGATAAAATTTTACATTCAATAGATTTGAGGTTTGAGTTTTCACTCTTTTTTTTTTAGTAAATGTTAACCAGTGTAAATTGTGTAGGATAAAACCTACAACATAACTGTGGTAAACAAATTGTTATCTCAATGGATCTCACTTCTGAAAAATCCTATGTATATAATATTATCTTCTTCTTTTTTTATTAGTGTTATGTTATATTTATAAGGCTGTTTTTGGATAAAAATTTAATTAAGTATTTATTTAATACTTGTTTGCTATATAAGAGACTTATTATAAATACATATAAAGAAGGTCATTGTAAGCATAAGAAAGTAGTATAAAATGGAATAATTTTTAGTCCAATTAAAAGAACTAGGATAATATTTATAAGAATTTTAGGAAAAATTATTAAAAATTCTTATCATAAATAAAATATTGAAAATTTTGATTTTTTAATCGACTCTAATAATGTTATACGATTAATGTAAGATAAGATTTAATGATTGTAGTTGTTGAAGAGATTTATGATAAAATTATTAATATAATTTGAAAATTCTTATTTTAATAAATTTTATAAAAATATAAAAATAAATTTAAAAACAAAAATAAATAAATTATTTTTATAAATATGAAAACATAGTTTTATCGTCATTGCTTTTTCCTTTATGATTATGCTTGAAGAGATTAATTTTACACTAGAGTGAATTATTTTAATAATTAACTGTAAATTAAATTAAGGAAAACAAAAAATGGACAAATTACAAACTAACTATTGTAATACTTCCTTTGTTTTTTTTCCTCTAACGTTTATTTCAAGGTTTCTTATAGAAATTTTAAAAAATTAGTATTTTAATTTTTGTAAAAAAATTAATTATTTTTATTATAATCTTCATTTACTATATTATTGAAAAAATATTTAATGAAATATATTAATTAATAAATAAAAATTAGAAAAAAATAATTTTTAATCAATTTTATAAAATGAGAATAAAAAATGAATGTAACAGAAAATAAAACGGAGGTAGTAATTCTAATATTATTTTTTAGAATTTTTTTCGTGCTAATTAATCACTACAATAATTCTAACACTATTAATATTAATATTTTGATTAATTTATTTTATCATTGTAGTTAGTAAATATAAATATTATTCTTAAGATGTTTGAATCAATAGGAATGATAAGGAGGGAGTATAATTTTACCTTCCCTTTTTATGCCCGTATATTTTAAATTTCTTGTCTTCTGTATATTGCAATTTAAAATTAATTTTAAAAATTATAAAAAAATTTAAAATATTTTCATATCTACATTTTAATTACAGTTTAACTAAAATCCTCTCAGAGTGATATAAAAAACCAATAAAATTTAATTAGATTTAACTGAGATTTTATGGCTGTCGTTGATTATGATAGGAATACAGTTAGAAATTAGATAGTGTTTTGATGGCTACCTACATTTTAATATTTTTAGATACTATTAATTACCGATAGTAAGAATATATTGATTGTAGCAATAAAAAAACAATTTCTGTGTAGAAAAATACGAAATATTCCAAAACAATTATGATTAAAAATGGAAAATGTTACATTAATTTTATCCTTACACATTTACATTTGAGTTTGATTAAATAATATTTTAAATAAAACATATTTGTAAAGAAAATGAAATTTATCCATTTAGTGCTGGCAGATTAAAATTTCAACTTGTCATGTAAAATTAATTATTAATATTAATAATATTCCAATCAAATATTGGGTGCTAAATTCTGGAAATTATAAAGCAATTGAATTGCTCCTCATAAAAATCATAATCAGTTCCTAGCCTTCTCTCATTGGTTTATTTTTCGCAAATATCAAGTCTTAGAAAATATATAAATATAATTAATCCTTTTTCCTATATATTTGGAAATATAAGAATATTTAGTCGCATGAATAAATCATTTCTGATAATTGATTACTTCATTTATCTATTAATTAGAATATTCTTTGAAAATGAAAATTTAAAAAATTAATTACAAAATTAGTTGAATCTTTGAAAATGAAAATTTAAAAAATTAATTACAAAATTAGTTGAGAGATATGTGAAGAGTAGTTGTTAGTTGCTTGTTTTAAAAGGATGCATGCATGCAATGACGGGCATTAATGGTATATATCTACCTTTTTTAAGCATGTGTCAACGGGCAAGTACACTTGGATCTTATTTATTTTCATTTGCATGTGAAATAATATATAAATAATGATTAGTTATAATTAGCAAAAAAAAGCATGATTAGTTATAAGATCAATTGATTTTTAGGACAAAAAGTGTCTTTCTTGATAATAATTAATGCAATTACGAAAAAGTTAAAGAAGGAGTTAGCTATGCAAGTTTAATTTTATAACAAGTCCATGATGCTGAATATTAAGTTCAATAATATTGGAAGACAAAAAAACAATGTCAAAATTAAAGAAACAAAAACATGAACACATAAATTAAATCAAATGCTCTGAAGGCTTGCTGATTGAAGCAAAATCCACAATTAGTATCATTTACTTGCATAAGTAAATAGAAATTTTAGTTCTAAATAACTCCAATAAAAATTGTTTTGAGGAATTAATTGAGAATGTAAATAGGTAGAATGTCTCAAATTGATTTGAGTAAAAGGATTTAAATTTTTTATTTTTTATTTTGAGTTTGATCGATTCATGTATAAAGGGGGAAAAAATGTTGTTATGATGGATATCTATATCTTGACACCTGAAAATAACTTTATAAGATTAATTTTATCTATTGAAGTGGGAGGATAAAAAGAATATCACAAATTTAACATTTCATTTAGTTAGTTCTTAAATATTATATCATGGAATGAAATAAATAATTATCTTAAGTAAGACTTAATTAACTAAAAATATTAATTTAAATACATAGATAGTACAAATAATTTTTACACTGCGATTTTATTATAAATTATTATATTAAAAATAATCATTAATTTTTGTAATAGTTAATATAAAATGATGTCTAAAATATATTTTAATTAGTTATACTTACAATGTTTAAAAATTAAAGTCTATCAACAAATTTCAAATCCAAAATTGTCATGCTAACATTGATTGGTTTTACCAACTGAACTCATCTGTTGAATGATCTGCTAATGACTCCTCTGGAAGGAGTGAGTACAAAAATTTGCTTTGTTAGCTGATCATCATCAGAATTTAAGCTTTCCACTGTAAGTTTTGTAAGAAATTTTTCACATGATTAAGAAATTCTAATTCCATCACATAAAATATATGAATTATAATGTTAAAGAATGTAAAAACTAAACCCTACACAAATTTTGTTTTCATTAGTAATTAATATTTTCACACATATATATTTTTTAATTCAGAAAAAAAAAATTCGATAGATAGATAGATATTAGATAATTATACACCTTTATAAAAATATTAATAAACAAAAACTAATAATTTACTAATATATACTCTTTTTAAAAATAAAGTTATATATGTGTAAGTATTGAGATCGATGGAGATAAAATTGTTAAAATAATTTTTTTATTTTTTATTTTGGAGATATCACTCTTTCTTGTTGAACAAAGGTTTAGTTTAGTTATAGGTCAAGATATGGTGTCAGCTTCCAAGAAAACTTACAAAAGGACTTAGAGATTATTCATTAATAAAGTTTTATGTGGATAGTGAAATTTAAATGCGTATTCTTATAAAATATAAATTCAATCCTTATAATTGGACTAACTTTTGTTGCTATATTCTTATTGTTTTCATCACTTTATTTTGTTTGGTAATCATATGAAAATTAATTATATATATATATATACACACTTAACATATTTAAAAAGGAAATAGGTGTATGCTCCATTAATACTCTAGCGAAGTTGTTGTGGGGTGGGTACCCTAATTGAAACTATAATTACTTCATATGAATGATCACGTCTTACCATTTAAGGTTATATTTCAATGATTTTATTTGTGGTGGATATAAGCATGAATATGATTTTAAAGTATACATAAATTTTATAACCTCTTGGTTATCCTTCAACAAAAATGTGTGATCATGCTTGTGCCACTCAATTGGATTGCCCCTCATATGTAGTAATTATCATCAATTT